GGGTTGTTCCTCTCACATATTCTGACTCCTCACTCTGGCTGCAATTGCTGCTGGTGGGGTTTTTTTTCTTTCTTAACTCTGTTATCACAGAGGCGCTACCACCATCGCTGATGGGCTCGGCCTTGGCCAGCGGCGGGGGCCTCCTTTGGGACAGCCTTGGCCATTGGTGGGTCCGTCTTGGAGCCGGCTGGCATTGGCTCTGTGGGACATGGGGGAAGCTTCTGGCACCTTCTCACAGAAGCCACCCCTGTAGCTCCCCCACTACCAAAACCTTGACATGCAACCCAAATACACATGTACAGGTCCATGAATTTGTATTCTAGGAAATAGAGAACATCCTACTTCATGATTTCCTGGAGGAGGTGCCTGTGCAACACATGAAGTTAATCAGATTGTTCTGCAAAAATGTTGAGATTTGGCTGCTTAATGCTTTGAAAGACTTCCCATTACCGCTCCAAACATCCAAATCTAAAGGTACGTTTGAGTAATAGATTTTCACAAAATAATCTTTGCTTACACTGCAGATTGTGTTACAAGACTCTCACAGAAATTATTTTAAAAACATTTTAGCTGATGTAACTTTGATAGTAGTGAGGACTAGAGTTAGTTGGGATACAGTTAAAAATAAATAGTCTCAGATAATGGGTGAGAACAAATTTAAGTGAAAATTATTCCCAATTCATGGTAAATTAAAGTGTACTGGAATCATTTTAAAGATCTGTCTCTTGCCATAATCGCTTTGGCTGCGTAGATGACTGAATAATATGCAGTCTGCTCTCTGCAATTTAGGCATTGTTCTGTGTCTTCACCTTGCAAGTGGTTTTATGCAGATAAATTAATTAATGGCTATAGCGCAGTTCAATATAAAGGGAAAAAAGCCATAGTCCCATAGGGAAACTATGACTCTGTCATTAGAGAAGGATTTGAAAAAAATCTGTACAAAGGTGGTTGTATATGTGTGTGTTTGTAAATATGTACAGACATACATATATTTATATATGATGCTGAACAGCCTGAATAAAACATAATGTTCCTCGGTTACTCATTGAATGAAGACCAACTCAGTGGCAAAGCAGGGCTCCTGTATAGACAAAAGATTGTATTAGCATTCATATGCTCAAGGAAGACTCCACGCACAGTCTTAATCCTGGCATGTCTTACATTTGAATGCTTGACAGAGCAAACTTAATAATGTGTTTTTAATATGTGTGCATGGAAATATATGTAATGAATCATCTACGACCCTTTGTGTATACATACTGGTCTTTCTGGTTTGTACAAACTTCAGAGAAACAGAAATTTTCACTTGAAAACAATTGTCTGTCTACAAAAGTTTCTAAGTCTTCTTTATACTCAATTTTCCTGTAACTAAGAATCATTTATTTTATATTTTATTCTTACAAAGGATATTCTTGGACCATGTTTGTCATAATTACAACACGTTATAAACAGGGGAAAATAGAACCAAAGAAACCAACTCCTATTAACAGTGCTGCAGAATTATAGATGCATAAAGGTGGAAATGTAAACCCTCTGAACAAAATACAGGAGGTTTAGAATTAACATTGCCTTCATTCACCTTAAATCATACATGTAAAAGAGTATTAGTCTTGATTAAGAAGTATTTTATCTAAAAAAATATTGGAAGTATTTTTCCTGTGCGTCAGGGGTTAGCAGATTTGCAGTGAAGGAAGAGTGGTGACCTGGGCAGCTTCTGCTTGCAAGCGTTAAGCTGCGAGGGTCCCCAGCCCAGCCTAAAATGGTGGCTCAGTGTCCCCGCTGTGCCCTCCGTTAGCCTGTTGCTCCCCTAGGGATCTACTTTCTAACTTAAAAGGTCTGACATCATTAACATCTTTTAGACTGTAAAATTTTAATGATGTGAAATGTCTGCCTCTTCTTCTTCAACAGAACTTACAGTGTTTATAAAAAGACTCAGGAGAAAGACAGACCTTTCTAACATGGCCAAGGTATGTTCCAGAATCCGTGAAACAAAAAAGCTGGGCATCTCATTCACTCAAGCAGTTTGGACTATTCATGAGACGCTCCATTGTAGGCCAACAGCAGCAGCAGCACAGGTGTTCTTAGCTGTATACTGATCTTGGTCTAAATCATGCTCACCTTCCTACCCATCTCTTCCCACACCGTAAGTATGCTGAGGGGGCCTTTTCCTCCCTCTGGCTTCTGTGAAAGCCTCTGAGACATGGTCAATAGTCCCGCATGGAGAGCAGTAGGAGGAAGCATCAGATGACAGCTTTCAGTATCTTTGCCCAGCCATGCAAAACCCAGTCAGACAGCACGTGCTGGAGTTACTCTAAAATTTGTTTTACGTAGCATTCTGACCACTAGTGCTCTCTGACGAATGCAGCAGCCTGCACAAAGGAAATTACTAATACTCCAGCTGCAGAGAAGCTGCGTGGTCAGGGAGCAGGGTGTGAGGTCTATAAGGGCACAAGACCCCCACCTTTTTCATGGATCCCAGGGATCAGCTGGCAAAATCTTCTCCATTCTCTGACCAGACAGTGTTGGAAGGAGTGCTGCAGGGAAGCATCCTCTGAGCTTTCCTTCTCAAGCTCATCACTCAGACTGGCTTTTCTCCTTGGGAAGAAAGAGACAAAAATCTCTCTAACAATTAATATCTCTGCCTGCTTTTTGCTCTACAGTCTCATTCTTCTCAGCTACAGTGGCAAAGGAGATGCATCCAGGCGCTGCATTTTTAACACTTTGAAACACTGCAAAGTAAATTCTTTCACTAGCCTGTACTTATTCAGTGCTGCATTATTATGACTGTACCCTCCTTGCAGCCTTCCTTCCGTTGGTGCCCTTGGATACTTCCAAAACCTTGGCTTTTGAGGTGGTCCAGGCCATGACAGAACAAATAGGTCACAAAGGGGGAAGCAAGCAAGCAGAAGAAAACAGGTGGTATATTGTCTCCTCTTCTTCAAACAGCAAGTACAAGGTTCTCCCACCATGCTGCCTGGCTTAAATCACTACACTGTGTCCCCACAACAAAGGGGAGGAAGGAGGGGAACTGTGGCTTCGTGAACTGCACGGTGGTGTCACATTCTTCCTTAATAAATGTAGCTTCTCTTTATGGGAAAATTCATTGCCAGCAACACACAAAAGACACACCTTACTTTAAAAAAATTTTAAAAATCATAATAACGCACAAAGATGCATAGGTGTGCTAACACAGGCAAAAAGTTGACTTCTGTGAGGTGCTGAGCACTCGCAGTTCCCATTTACTGCAGCAGCCCTTGGAGATACTAAATACTTGAAAAGCTCAGCTTCATGTGCTTCTAAACAGCACTTTTTATGCATCGAAGGATGTGATCCAGCAAGACTGCAGGTGCCAGCTATTCCCAGTCATTTGCATTTGATTTGCATACTCAGACTTCCCATCATTCTTCTTGTGCCTGAGCCATGACATCAAGGGGCTGGTTGCAGCTTTTTGCTTCTTCCCTGCCTACCCTAATGTGTGGAAAACCTGCAGAGAGTCAACATCGAATTTACACCCTCAAGATTTAGGGTAAGAGAATTTCAGCCTAGTTGGGGGGAATTCTCCCTCAGCAGCCTCTGGCTGCTCTGCGTCCCCTTTGCATCGTTTAACCAGCACAAAGCAAACCTCACAGACCTGAGAATCTGGGTCAGATCTACAGCTGAGCACGTTCTGAGCCTGGTTCTTGTTCATGCTAACGAGCTCTTGGCACTGTTCTCACACGTAAATGATGTTTGCACCTTCTCTAGAGCCTCTTTAAAATACAAGGGAAGGGCAAAGGAATTCCAGTGTACCTGATGATTAGTCCCACTGCAATTTAAAAACAATAGTTTCAGTAGGTGAAATTATATAAGTCTTGTAAATGAGCATCCCCATAGTCTTTCAGCGGTCACATAGCCCCTGTTACAACTTCTGTCTGAGATCTTGCCAAAGCCATGGATGCTGGGCTCCAGCAGAACAGAGTAGGAAACAAATCCTGGCTAAACATTCTCCTGCAAATGCATCCCCCCTGTCCAACGCACATCAGAAAATGGTTAGCTGAATACCACAGGTATTTAAAATTTTCAGCTTGTGAGAAACATGCAGATGCTTCCTGGGGAGGTGGACATCCCTCAGAAAGGACTGCCGAGTGTTTTAGTCTGTCAGACCCGATCCTAGGCTTGTGCTTGTATCCCATTTCCCCTGGTGGCCCTCATCAGATGCTGATGTGAGGTGGGTGTGAGTAGAGCAAGTGATACCTCATTCCTCCATTGTACTCTCCTGGCTTCTAGCAATCTGAGATGAAGTTTATATGCACATCTTGGTAATTAATAGCTTGATTTTGGCATCCACAACATCTTGGGGTAGTGAGTTCTAGGGTTTGATTTTTTATTGTGTGGAAGAATACTTTTATTATTTGAAAATTTCTTCCCTTCTTCATGCAATTCTCTCTGCAAACTTCCATCATAGCCTTCCTCAGTTATTTCTATCCAAAGCTGAAGTTTATCTCATCTTCTCACATAGATATTTCTATCATAAATATCATATCTCACATATTTCATCTTCTTATGTGATATTTCTAATCATCCTTCTCTGTTTTCTCTGTCTAAAGCGCACCTGGAATTTCAGCTAGAGACTGATGGTCAAAGCAGGTGAGAGTGCTCCTAATGAGAAGTACCATGGAGGAGCTGTGCAGCTGCAGCCTCTGAATGGTGTAACCACACCATCCCTTGTAGAGTACTTTGCAATAATTTAGCCACCTGGTGAGAAAATAGGAACAATTTTGCCAGGGTCAGCATTCAGACAAAAAAAAAAAAAAAGTAACTTTCCCATCATGTGTAGATAAAGCAGGCTGACAGCTGCTACTACCTGGACATGCAGAAGTAATTAGAGCATAAAAAGGTGCAAATTCCCTGCAAGAAAGGAATGTGAATATGATGCTTGTCATTTCCTGGGGCTGATTCCTGCCTCTGGTAAGCTGTATTTAAGTGTTGTCAGAGCTGGCGCTCAGTCATTTAGAGAATTGTATTTAGTGTAGTGAAGTGCAATGGCTAAAGGGATGGGTCTAAAACACTGGGGCGTGGAGTCGGGCGCTAGCAGCGGACTGAAGATGCTGCCCTGGTAGTTCCCTGCCTCTGGGTCGTGTGTTCTTGTTGCAAGCTGCAGCTCTTCTTCTGACACTGGAAACTCCAAGTAAAATAAGAAAAAAGAAAAAAAACCACACTGTCTTTAATTATAGCTGAAGGGGATTACCGAGTGAGAATCAGTGCTTTTGGTATTTCAGTAAAGCACGCAGAATGCTGAAAAAGAAAAATGGCTAGATCGGGAATTACGTTTGCAAACGAATGGTCAGCTGCTTTCACTGCTGCTTGGGGGGTCATGGTAAACACCCAGTGAGTGGGATTTGTTAAAACTTTTATGAATCTTGAAGTTTTCTGAATTTTACAAAAAAATATTTTTCCTCTGGAAGGTCTGACTGGACATGGATTATTCATATATAAGCCCAAAATTCAACAAAGGCTTTAGGATCTTACTGATTTCAATATAAAAGTGAGAGATTAAATGTATGGATTAAAAAATTTTAATGGATTCAGGTTTAATTTCCTTCACTGTTTTCATCATTTCCTCAAGAATCTGAAGCAATACTGTGTGATAGTAGCAATTAATTAAAAAAAAAAAAAAAGATGAGGATCAAATGTTAGGCTGAAAATTGTTTGCAATATCTATGTGAGTAATACTTTTTTGGACAAATATGAAGCCAGATTCATTCACAAATGACTCATAAGCAGACAAATGGGATATAATCCCAACTAACATTATTTTAACTAATACCATATTTCTACTGTTATTTTTACTTTCTCAAAGGTTGGGGCAGCTTGAGAAAACTTGCATTTGAATTTAATTGAAACACGTACTAAGGACAGGTAACATCGAGGGAAAGTTGGCCCTGATACACCATTCCATGTTTTAGACAAAATACCGTTATTTGGTGTAACGAAGATAACCGGAGGCAAAACCAATTGCCCAGATGCTTCAAGCATGTTAGCCTTGTCTGCTCCATTACAGACAACAACACAGAGTGTCATTGAAAAGAATATCTCCCAGAACAAAAAACTCTTGAAGACAATTTAAGATTAATCCCCTTTGATCCCCCCCCCCTCAGTTTGGAGACTGGTTATATAAAGTCTGGTATTGAATAAGGGAAGCTTTTTGACTGAGGTAAGGGCTTGAGAAAATGAAAGGCATTAACTGTTTTCTTATTACAGACAATGAGAACAGTCTTGAACAGCAACAGCAAAGTCACTGTTCTGCGATCAGACTTGCATGCTGTCATGAATCAGGGATTTCTGGATGTGCCCGGAAACCTCTTTCAAATGAAGTTTAGGAATCCGGAGGAGCTGCAGAACGACATAGAACTCAAATGTAACACTTTTTTGCTATATTTTGTCTATCCACTTAAGCCCTTGCTTGCCATTGTTAAAGCTCCAGTATTTCTCTTGTTTATTCATGGCATCTGCCCTAATGGGAATTACAGTCTTGCCGTAACCCAAAGTACTGGAAAAGAGCCAATAAAATTGAGAATGAAGCATATAATGTTATCCTTTTAACTTTAAAGGTTAAGAATGAAAGGCTTTCCATTCTGACTCTCTTAAAGCTTTATATGGCAGCAGGAGTGGGGTTTGTGTTACTAAATGATGTATCTTCTAGAAGGCGGCTGACAAACAAGGATATTAATTTTTTACCTTTTTCTTTGACAAAAAAGACATTTCCAAGAATTGCCTTTTGCATTTTCCTCAGTTACTAACCAAGCACGCAAAAACATTTCTTGTGGCCAGTTTTTTTTAAATATCGTGTGCTGAACTGGACGAGGACTATTGGCCTTTCAGCTTTTGTGTCCTTTTGCTGTACTGCGGCCTGCGGAATCGGTGTGCTGCTGTAAACAATAAAATACACAGTTTGTATGCAGCCATGACATAATGCATTTGCTAGCTTAATGAAAAGGGATGGGAACATCATGGCAAGTTAATTTTTAGATTAATGGGCTGCCATTTAAATTATTAGCAAGAGATGGGCAAGTTGGACGAGGCTGTGCACGGAACTGGCGGGGGGAAACCTCAGGTCTTTGTTCCTGGCCCGCCACCGGCTCGCTCGCTGACAAGGGATGCGCCACAGCCTTTCCGTGACTGCTTTCACGGAAGAAGGCAGTCAATAATTTGCCTTCTTCACAGAACCATCAGGAGAATGATTTAAATAGTATTTATGTACGGCTTAAAATAAAAAACACTGCGCAGAACGCTTTTGTTACATTTGCTCGTAATATTAATGATGATCTTATTCTTTCCAAGGTGTATTCTCTTATTCTAGTCTCTGCTTTCACTGCTTTTCCAAATTGTTATTTATAATGAGCAAGGCTTCACAGACCCTATCCACATGCCTTCTGGAAGGAAAACGTCTCAGTTAGAAGGATATAAATTCAGAGAGGTGCCATAGTGATGTCCCTTTTGGCACTGGGTAGTAGGTTACAATTTTTTGGGTGAACAGCTGCGCTCATATGTGGCAATATTACATATATTTCTGTGGGTCTACAGAATATTCTGCATTTGCAGTTATTGTTTCAAAACTGTTTTCTCCCCTTCAACAAATAAACCAAGATTTTTTTTTCTCAACCACATAAAATCTCAGATAAGTAAGTTGGTATTGCGCATAACCAAATTTCAGCTTTCCCATTGGAAGTGTTTATTCTTGCCACCTTTGCCATGATGACTAGGTCAGTGCAGATATGGTGGAAACGGACATAAACATGAATTCTGACTGATTTCAAAGTAGGGTGCCATTCCTCACTGAAGGAATAGTATAATCATATTAATCAAAATTCTATAAACAGATGTCTTCTTAATACATTTTAAGCTAAAAATAAAAGAAAAAAAACCCTAAAAATTGCATAAGCAAACCAAAAAGCAAGCCAATCACTTCAAGTAATGATCTCCCTTCTATATTTCGTAGGTCTGAACGACTTAATGTCTTTTCTGGCACCTTCCACAGATATTCGGGTTCTCCTGAACTGCGTGTTTTCAAATCTTCAGGCTTTTGTCATTCAGGTATAAAATTAATTTAATAATTTCAGAAAAGAAAGAGTGATCACATCATTTATCCTGCTACATGCTGACTGTCACTAGTCTGCAGGAGCTACATTGTACATTAGCAACCTGACCAGACTGCAGATTTGCATAAATACAAGTTATGCATGCTGCAGAAAAAGGGGGAATTAATTGGCATACAAAAATTCCATCTGTGCAAACGACTACAAGCATATTTCTGTGCATATATCCACTCAGGCAGTTTCAGTATCTGCCCTCATTTCATAGACGCATATTATAACAGTCCCTAATAAACCAAAATTCAGAAGAAAAATGTTAGTAAAAATGAAGAGAACACTTCATGATTCCTGAAATTGTTCATTCAAGAAATGAGTTTTAACAGGTGGTAGGAGGGTGATAATTTCCAGTACAGTCTCTCTAGCTCTTGTGAAAGATTCAAGTATGATTATGCTCGTGTATGCACCTTTACCAACTCTGCCAGCCCTCTTCCATCACTGATTCAGAATTAGCAGTAGTTTGCTGGTACCACTGCATTCGGCTGGTTGCCAGGCCAACTAACTTGGGTCTGGGTGGTGGTAAAGTTTTTTTATTTTTTCCTTTCTGAAGAAGCAGGGTAAACTGTACTTCTTTAGCTTGATTATTTCCCCTCCCCCCCCTTTTTTTTTTAAATTAAGAAAAGTACTTTGCAGTTCTGTCGTGCCTTCACCTCATAGAAGCCTCAGTTACCTCACGGGATGGTGTAGAGAAGATGGAGCGGGACTTTTTCTGGGGGTTCACAGTTGTAGGGCATAAGACAATAGACACAAGTTGCAGCAAAGAAAATTTCCAGTAGATTAAAAGAAAAAAAATTACCATGAGAGTAGTTAAGCATGGGAAGAGGTTACCCAGAAACACTATGGAATCTCCATCCTGGAGGTATTCAGAACTTGACTGGACAAGGCCTGAACTAAGCTGGCCTTTGAGCAAGAGGTTGGATTAGATGATGTCCAAAGATCCCTTTGAACTCATGTTATTTTAGTATTCTAAAAAAACCTGCTTGTTCCATGTTCATATGCAGTTTGTATGGGGAAATACTCTACACACAATAATGAATTCTTTTAATCAACTTTGTCATAAAGAATTTTTTTTTCTCTATCTGCAGCCAAGCAGGAGTAAAGAGGAGTTTAGAAAACTGGCATCAGATTTCCAGCTGAGATGGAACTTCCTACTGAGCGCAGTAAGCAAGGCTATGACCCTCAACTATGCAGACAGTTTTGGTAAGTAGGATCTTTGTGACTCTCATCTGATACACTCCTCTGTGTCCTGAGATGGCAGAGGCACCACATCATTTTTCATCCCTGGAGTTATTTAAAAGACGCGTAGATGTGGTGCTTAGGGACATGGTTTAGTGGTTGGACTTGGCAGTGCTAGGTTAATGGTTGGACCGGATGATCTTAACAGCCTTTTCCAACCAAAATGATGCTACGATTCTGTGATCCTATGATTTTAACTGACATAAATTCATGCTACGGTCAATAGGGGCATCACTTCTTCCTGCGCCCTTCCTTGCATCGAGCAGCACTATTCACCTGGTGATGTGGCTAGACAGGTCAGGGAAATGAAACAATTAGTTTTCAATCAGATTTGTTTTCTGATCCAAACTCTAAGATGAGCAGAAGGGAGGAAAGTAGGAGCATTCAGCTGGAGATGGTGGCAAGGGCAGGACTCCCTCTTTCGGCAGAAGCCATCATTTGTCTGTGGAAATACGGGGAACAGCAGCCTGAGGTGTGAGCCTCTGCTCTCCCTCCCCACAAGAGCTGCACACACCAGCAGAAGGGTGTGATGAAGAGCTGGGACCACTGATATCCCAAACCATAAAATTTCCAGATCTCTCAAGTGATAGCTCCCAGTCCTTCGGCTTCTTCCCATGCAATACAGCCAGAGCAGAGCCACTGTGATAGCTACTTGCCAAAAAGGCAGTTAGTTCTTCTGACAACAGCTACATGCTCCTTTCTTTTCCTTATGCCTGACGCTGACATAAGTGCTTGTCTAGCCAGAAGCAAGCCTGCTTAAGGTGTTAAACTGACTGAAAACTAGTCACTCCCTTAGCTGGGTTAGTTTTCTCTCTGTTTTAGGGCTCTGGGCTGTCAGGCATCAAATCTGTCCCACAGCAGTGCAAGGCAGGAGAAGTGAAGGAACTGTGCAGTGACATTCACTCAAAGTGGCTTGAAGCGGTACAACCATGTCTTGAATCAGTTCAGTGTCTTCCATTTCTATATTGCAACAACCCTACCTGCCTTTCTCTTCATTTGTAAAGCCTTTCAGAGGCTCTGTCTATTATTCATTCTGCAGAAATCCATCATCTCCTGTGAGCAGCATCTGATCCCAAACCACTTTTTAGATTTTCAGAGGAGCGCCTTCGTATTTTTTCCTCTTCTGTTGGATGGGGCTTCACACAAATAGCCAAAGAAAACCTCATTATCTTCTTTGAAATTCCCCTTCAAAACTGTACTTTCATGTGTTTCCTACAAAGACGTAACAAAGGGGTACGTGAAGGTTGTTGCCTTCTGTATTCTTCAGCATGCTTCCCCAGCTAATGTCTGTGTTTGTGCATGTATGTGTGCACCCCTTTTCTGCATCTAGCTGCTACCTTTTGCCTTATATTTAGACTGCAAACTCTCTGGAGTGGGATCACAGTTCTGCTCTGTGTCTGCAGGGAACATAGCACAGTATGTGCATCATACTGTCCATCAGCTGCTGCATTACAGTAATAAAATAATCATTCCTTTCTCTCTCTCCAGAGTTCTGCACAAAAATCTCCAATGTTACATGCAATATTGTGGGCAATGAGGAAATCAGGAGTGAATTCCAAGATCAGCACTGGAAGCATAATGTGTACTGAAATTCCCCATGATGATGAAATCCTCTTCCCTCTTTCCACCACCAGAAGAGTTTAATGAATTGTCTCTCTGCTCTGCAGTTGTCTGTGGTTGGGGGGCACCACTGATGGAGAGCATCCCTTCCTCTGCTGAGCCTTCCTTAAACTCATTACAAATGATATTTTCATCCCACTTATGACAGTCTTCCTACTATACTTCAGTAGCACTAAGATTGAATTTATTGTCACATGAGAGAGTTAAAAAATTTCTTTTAATCTTTCTCTGTGATGATCCAATTAATTTGATCATTATTATCTTCTTTCTTAATACTCTTCATTCTTTAAGATGTTGGGCTATAAGCCCTAACAATGTGCCTTCTTTCCCATGTTTCTATTCCGAGAGGATTTTGAGTTTTAGTGGACAAGGCTGAAGCCGTTATGTTAACAAGCCATCTGGTGTAAAAGTTCGGTACTCGGGGTCATTGCTTTTCAGAAATTTCTTAAATCTCAGCATTTCTTGCAGGAATGGTGGGCAGCCTGCAAGTTGAAATATGTAGTATCCACACTGAGGAAATGCAATTGCTTAGGCAAATGTGTGAGTGTCTTGTTAACGCAGCGTGCCTCCCTCCAAAATAAACCACATACCAGTAACCAAACCCAAACTTCCTTCTGTCTGGGGCTCTTGCCTTGGAGCTTGGCACATTTGGCACACATAATATTCCGGCATACCCACGCCTCTGAATTTAGGATTGACTTTTTACCCTTTTCCAGCCCAGCCTCCACATGGGTGATGCCTAAGTGTCATCAGAGGAACCGTGAAGTTGCCCCCCTGTAAGGCGTCAAGGAGCAAGGGTGCTACAGCACTTGGGGCTAATGGGACCTCTGCAGCCCTTTCAGCTCCACCTCCTCTCCAGCAAATGTGCCTCTACATATCTCCATCACAGAGCCTCGTGTGACTGGGTCCCTTCTGAGGCATTCAGGGATGCACTGCTGAGCCACACTGGCTGGACAGTGACCTGTGCGTTCCTCTTTTGAAAGCAACCTGCTTCAACCTACTGTCTCTTCAAAACTATGTCCCTCTGTATTATCCCAAGGGACAACTGGAATAGAAGCTTTACTTTCATGCTTACTCTCACTGAATATATTGAAAACATCTGTAAGACTGTTAGAAACACTCATGGACTGCTAGTGTCAGGTCTGCATAGTTTGAACTCCAAGTATAAAAGTCCTTTTCCTTGTCTCATAGGTAAACAAGTATTTCCACTTATTTGATATAAAGATGTGCAAAAGGACAAACAACAGAAGCAGCAGCTTCTCAGACACATATAACATCAAAAGAGAAAGTAGTTTTCATTTTTAAAGCTCTGCAAACCTTGATTGTTCATAAAAATTGTGGTATCTTCTCATTCATGTCCATATAAACACGTGTGTGGGATGCAGATGTTATGAATTGCTTGATGAATCCCTATGCAGATTTATGGCATGTGAAAAGACCTACTCTTTACTGTAAGGTACAACTCAAAAGCCAACGGTGTCAGTGAGTCTCTCTTGGCTCAGTTGTGCCCCAAGCTGCAAGGTAGGCCATTTAATGTCGTAGATAGAAGACATGCAGACGTCTGCAGGAGGGTTAGCTTGGGAAGAGGTGGAATGATTTATCTGTCCAAGGGAAGAACGGGGATGATATGTGGTTGTTGATAAGCCTTGCAGTAGCAGTAAATGTGGGGAAAGAACTTGAACAGGAAAGTGAATAAATACAAGTACACTTTCCTCTCTAGCTAAATTAAGGGGTAAAGGCTATTGCTTATGTTTAAAATCTGCAGTTGGTGCCTCTTTTGTTATGATATTTGGAAGCACATAATTTTGTAAGTACTCTTTGAAGACTGCTAGTCTGCTACTTTGTCTAGTTTGTTAGTATAACAAAGCCCTTCAAAAAAGAACATATCATGAAGAAAATGAAGAGGATGTTGTTAAAAATATTTTTGTTTTTCTTTAAACCTAGGATCCTGGCATTTGTTTAATTTGCTACTCATGGATTTTGTAGCTCACGTTTTCCTCTGCTATATAGAGGAGGAGGGAGATGAAAGTTTCTGGGTCACAAAGCAAAATGAGTCCCCTGTTCTGTGGGTTTATGAGCCCAGCCATCTCTGGGGCTATTTTGCAGAGGAGCAACCTCAAGCCAATGCTCCACAGACTGCTCTCATAACTTTGATGCAGAGCCAGAATAACTTCGGATTAAGCAACATTTTTCCAGAGTTCTGAGTTGTTCGGTGGACACAGCCACAGGCAGCAAGGTGAAATAAACATTAACTTTAAAGAAAATTAAAAAAAAAAAAAAGTTGTAAGTTGGGTAAATTGGAAAAGATTGGGACGGGTTGGTTGGTGGGTTTTATGTGTATAAAGTAGTAGTAGTAAAAGCTAGGTTTGCATGGAGCTGTGTCCAGTATCACCTAAACCTCAAGCCATAAAACATCTTCCACAGCCCCCACGCACCCCACGATCCTATCAAGGGATCGTAATCTCCACACCGCCCACCTCCCCATCACTGCAGTTCTCTGCTTCTTTCCTTACATTTCCAGCAGACATTCGGTGCTCCTTTAGATTCCCCAAGCATTGTCTAAGCAAGAGCAGCGCTGTTCTGGTGGGCTGGGGGCAGCTCGTGGACTTGCTGACCAAACAGACTGCAGAAAGAGCGCATGGCGTAGTCTTTTCTCCCTGTTGGAAGCACCAAGAGGCTCTATTTCCTCCACCTACCTGTTAGTTTTATCAAAACGGGCAGAAGTATGAAACCCTTGAGACCTTTCTTCTTCAGACTTCCTTGCAGTCAGTCCACTGCTTCTAACTTACTAGCATGATGACATGCAGGTAGAAAACAAGACTCTAAGTCTTCCTAGAATGCGAGGCTAAATATAAGGGCATATGGGAACATGGATCAAGCCTCTGTGCTTAACACAAGTGATGAATTAGACGTTCAGCTGTTTTCAGATTTGTCTTCCATGCAATAATAGCACTTGTCTTAAACCTTAGAGAACATTGTGTTTTCCAGACAACAGTGCTGGGCAAATGTTAATGGCACCAAAACTCACAAAGAAAATTACATTTTGAGAGTCATCCTGCTATAGTTATTTTACTGTTGATCCAGCACCTCCCAAGATGTATTCAGTTTCCATGAATTAGGACCAGGACCATTTTAAAAAGCATCTTTATTAGTTATACAGACCCTTGGAGAACCCCTGTTTTTAAATATAAGATATGCTAAAACTAGCTCAACAGAGGTGAGAAAGAAGGCACAAAGGGGACAAATCAAGAATGGTTTATACGTGATATACATGTTTGACAGCTGTTGTTATTTTTCAAATGTAATATAATGACCCATCCTGCCATACCACCTTAACCTCAAAAAAACTGAGCTGGGTGCAGGCTATGAGCAAGGAATCTCTAAACCACTGATGGTCAGAAATCAGGAGATAAACCAGTAGAAAGCTTACTCAGTACCTG